GGAGGCTCCCAGGAGGTCGGACGGGGCGCGGAGAATGGCTCCCTCTGGCCTCAACCGCCAGGAAGCTCTGCTGCTATTCAGCTGCGTGGCAGTTTCCCCCCTACCCGAGCAATGCACGTGCCGGACTCCTGACAATGCTGCGGTGACAGTGAATTTGATTAGCACCTTTTCCACTCCCGTTAGGCAGCTGAGGTTGGAACAGCTGTCAGCACTGCTGAGCTCTTGCAAAGAAAGACTCTAAATAAATAAATCAACCGCCAGGAAGCTCTGCTGCTATTCAGCTGCGTGGCAGTTTCCCCCCTACCCGAGCAATGCACGTGCCGGACTCCTGACAATGCTGCGGTGACAGTGAATTTGATTAGCACCTTTTCCACTCCCGTTAGGCAGCTGAGGTTGGAACAGCTGTCAGCACTGCTGAGCTCTTGCAAAGAAAGACTCTAAATAAATAAACAACAGCCGGGAGAAGAAGGAAGGAGCCAGGGTGAAGAGGTACATTTATTTTTGCTGACAGAAAAGCTGCTGTTCCCCACATTCCCACATTTGGAGACACCTGGAAGTGCCATGTTGCGAGGCGACAGACCACAATCACTATAAAAATGTACAAAGTGGGGTAAAACTGCCAATGTTGCTCCGCAGCGCGAGGGCCTACAAGCGGAAGTACACACGCACGCACAGGCGGTGCAAACAAGAGTGGCACAATGATTTCACACCAGCCCCCATCCCACAGACCTGTGGCTGTCTTAAGGACCACACCGAAAAGCTACCCCAGCCAGCAGCAATGTAATTATATGGCGTCACACGGAGCCTGGCGATTAGCGATCAAGTTGCAACTGAGATGAGTGAAGCATAAATTACATTTCAAAGCTCGTTCAAATGAATGCGCAAGGCGTGTGAACATTTGCTGCCAGATGGCACTGAGAACCTAGAAGCACGTAGCTGCTCTAAAAGGTTGCTATTTTTGCCATTTGCCCATAGTCTAGTTTCTTCCCTCCTGACATATAAAAGGTCATGGGTGCTTGGCAACACCATGTCAAAAAACCACTAAAGAAACACTGCTGACCAGGGACCAAAAGGTCCTTGTGGTGCTAACGCAATGTGTGCAGGCAAAAGCTGACCCCTGATTAGCACGAAGAAGAGTATTACTTCAGTCTGACTCAAACTTTCCACGGAGACGCAGGAAAAACCCCCTTATAAATACAGAAATAAATAAAAGCAAAGAATAACCGTCCGGACAACACTGTTATGCTCAAGAGATTGGGGGAGGAGGACCTCCCAGAATGGAGCAAAATCTCTTCTCTGGGCCAGAAAGAAACCAATTTGTTCCTGCGCTAGGAGCCCTCACTGCATTGTCTTTTGCGGATTGGTTCGGGACACAAAACTAACGTTGAACGGGTGACTGCTCTCCTTGGAGTGACTACACGCACGCCCGGAACCACTGTCCAGGTGTGTCCGGCGCCTGTGCCTTACTGCTGAATGCCGGACCGATCTTCCTTGCCTTTCTCAGCTTCCTTCAAGGCATTAATGACTGGTACCCATGGGGAAGGCATTTCCGGCAGGATTTTCTTGCCTGGATTTAAGTGGCTAATGGCCGTGTAGAGACTTCCTGGCGGGCCCGCTTCCTGCTCCGAATAGTACATCTCCAGCGCGGCGGGAGTGCAGTGCTTGTGCTAGGGAAAGGGACAGACGACGCCATCAGCGAGAGAGACCTTTGGCTGGCAGGCCGTGGTCTGAGAGGAGGTGACATTGGCTGTGTTGAAATTGTTTGGTTAACTTTGTGCATAAATGGTTATTTTTCAACACAGGCCTGGTTTGAGGCCTGAGGCCTAGCTAACAACAGGCGGGGCCCACGCGCCCTTTTAACCAATAACGGCACTGGCCCGTGCTCTTGCAGGTGGCGAGAGAAACGATACAGCTAGCTCCACCCACTGCAGGTCAGTGGGTGGAGCTATGCTGCTAGCTCCACCCACTGCAGTGCCTGCTGATCCGGCATCTGTTTACATTGACTTAACTTCAGGGATAGCACAGTTCCTCTGGTACTCCCCTGATAACACACACTCTCTGTCTCTTTCCGTCCCCCGCCCGTGTACCCCATCTCCACGGAGGGAGGGGGAGTGAAGACAGAGCTCACAGGAGTCGGAGAGCTTTCAGTGAGTGTCCTACAGAGACAGCGCACAACCTCAAAAACCGCCCCAGCAGCCAGTACACACCCTGTCGCTGTATCTCATCCCCCCCGCCCACACACCTGCACCCCCTGTATGACACACACGTGCACCACCTCTGTCACACACACACACACACACCGTCTTTGTATGTGTCTCTCTCACACACGCCCCATCTATTCACACACACACCCATCTGTGTCTCTCATACACACATACACACACACATACACCCATCTGTGTCTCACACACACACCCTATCTCATCCCCCCCGCCCACACACCTGCACCCCCTGTATGACACACACGTGCACCACCTCTGTCACACACACACACACACACCGTCTTTGTATGTGTCTCTCTCACACACGCCCCATCTATTCACACACACACCCATCTGTGTCTCTCATACACACATACACACACACATACACCCATCTGTGTCTCACACACACACCCTGTCTGTGTCACACACACACACGGGTGACATACACATGCCCCATCTATTCACACACACACACACACACCCTGTCTGTCACACACACACACCTGTGTGACACACATATGCACCATCTCTGTCACACACACCCCCGTCTTTATGTGAGTCTCTCTCTCTCACACACACCCCATGTATTCTCACACACACCTGGGTGACACACACATGAACTATTTCTGTCACACACATGCCCTGTCTTTGTGTGTCTCTCACACCTGTGTGACACACATGCACACGCACCATCTCTGTCACATACATACACACCCTATCTCAATCACACACACTGTCTCTCTGGGACACACCCTCTTATGCACCGTCTACAGTGATGCACACACATACCATCTCCACCGCATACACACACGGTCTCTGTCACACATACATGCTGCTTCTTTGTCACTCAGTCTCTGTCTCACACACACATTCTGTCTGTGTGTGTGTCTCACATACTCTGTATCACACATACACAACCCCAGAGTCTTTGTGTGTGTGTGTCACACACACACCCTGTCTCTGTCACACACACACATACTGGCACTACTGCTGTTATTACTTCTTGGTACTTCCTGCAATTCTCATATATTCTCTGTGATTTTATTTTTCTGGAGTGTGTTATTTTTGCTTTTTGACTGCTCCGGGCATTTCATACCTTTAGTTCTCTCTTACAGTTACATTTAATTCTTTGAGTAGTGAGTTTCAAAATGCCTAACTTGTCCTGGCTGGAGTAATTATCCCTATTGTAACTTTTTAAAATATATATATTACGTATAGGTTTTTTTGTTTCTACTGATGGTGCACATCAGCACATTACCTTGGTGCACATAACAAAATTTATTCCACACATGGGCAGACAACATTAGCGGGCACATTGGACAGGGGTCATCTTACCTTAAACACAAAGCCCTCTGGGCAGCTTAGCTGGTCATACCACAGCGCCTTGTACATGACCAGCATGAGCAGGCAGGCCAGGAAGGCCATCGTGATGAGAATCAACCCCGTCAGCTGGAAGGAACGGGAAGAAACCAGAAAAATGGTATGAGCTCAGATGAAAACAACCGAGCACCCAGTGGAAAGAGGAGGGCACTGCCCATGGTCATGGTTCTGGGATCTAGCGCAAATCCACTGCCTGGCATGGAGTCACTCAGCCAGCCCTGCATGGAAGAGCATCGCCCTGCATGTCGTGCCAAGTTGACTGACCCCATACCAGGGTGGCTTGCTGCTGGCACTGGACTAGCCAATATGGAGAGACTGTTGGCCAACACGGAGAGACGTATGAGACTGTTACAAGAGACAGGATCAGAAGCCTTGCGAAAACCAAGAGCTCACAGCCCAACTGGTTGGGCTGGGCGGGAAACATATTTTATTTCCCACAAAGTACGTCAAAGACAATGAATTTTTCATTCACATTTGTTGGGCTTTTGAGAAAAGACACACACAACAACAATAACAAGAGAGGATACCCTGCCTCGGTGACGCTGTACCCAGCCCAGGTGTCCACGCTGACGTTATAGTGAGAGAGGCAGTGTTATTTCTGATGGGATCATCACGAGATAGCGTGTGCAGGTCTGGTGTCTGCACTTCTGATCACCCGGACCAACTGGAAAGGGGTTAGCAGAGAGCAACAGGAACGATTCCAGTCTGGAAAGCCGCCTTGCAGTGACAGGTGACAGAAACTCAGTGTGTTTGGCTTATCTAGGAGACGGTTAAGAGAAGACTTGACCGTGGTCTACCAGTGTCTACTTAGGGAAGACATTTCTGACAATAGAGGGCTAACAAAAAAGGGGCAGAACGAGATCCGGTGGGCGGAAGCTAATGCCCGAGTTAGTCTATAAAATGCTACCAGACTATTTGTTGGTTTTTTTAGCTTATCCTGTACAGACTAACAAAACATGTCGATGGGATCAGGAGTTTTTGTGAGCACAGCCCACTTCTTCAGATGACCGGAGTTTTGAGTTTAGGATGTCCAGATCCAAAATAAATAGGGGAAAAGGGTGAGGGGGAGGAAAAAATGGAAGGGGAAGGGAAACAAGAAGCGGGGGGTATGTAAATATCAGAAGGAAAACCAAACAAGCAAAACTGGGAGGAAAAAATGGAAGCGGAAGGGAAACAAGAAGCAGGGGGTATGTAAAGATCAGAAGGAAAACCAAACAAGCAAAACTGGTAATCTATAAGCACCTAAAGATTGGATAGATAAAAGAAGCAGATAAGGATCACAGGATAGCAATTAGATAGGAAGGGTACTAACGCAAGAATCTACACAGACAAAGAGCCGTTGGCATAGGATGATAATATCCCAGCCACCCGTTAGCTCGATTGAGGCCACAGGTGTGAGAACTGAAAGGATGATAATGTCCCAGCCACCCGTTAGCTCGATTGAGGCCACAGGTGTGAGAACTGAATTTGTGGATGAATTGTAATTCCAACCCCACTCTGCGGATTTGGCCTGTAGAATTGGTCTGAAACAAGACAGCCACTTGGAGATCTTTTCAAGTGGGACCAGGCAGATTGAAGTGTTCCCCAGCAGGTTTCTGTATCTTCCCTTCGCGGATAGTTAGCCCCTGGGACAGTTCTAGAGCCACGGGCGGTTCTCCACCGCTGGGAGCCTGGAACGCATGCCTCTTGCTAAGGGCTTTGCTGTCACTCAACTACCTGTTCTGGGCTGCCTGCTGGAGTCGTGAGGGGGGCTCGCTCGCCTGCAGCCGGCAGGAGGCCGGACTGGATGGTTAGAACTGTCCCTTCTGGCCTCTGGGTCTATGGATTCCGGAGGGAAGCAAACGGCTATTGCTGTAGCCATGGGGGAGGTGTTGTGTGTAGGCCCAAGAGAAGCAGATAGTGGGGTCACTGGCAAATTACTCACGCCCTGCTGGGGGAGAAATGGGAGCCCGGCGTGGGATGGGACTGCCCGCTGCCGCACAGCATGGGCACCGTCACAGTGCCTGCATCAGGCCCGCTGGCAAAGGGAGAGGCCTCCAGTCAGCATGGAGGTGAAGAGAGAAAGGTGCAAGGGCAGGCTGAGTTTCACCTGGCAGCTCTGGGTAGCACAGGGTGGGATGTTTGCCTTACACCGAGTGGCTGCAAAGAGCTCGCTCTGCTTCCATCAACACGCTTCCTGCGGGGGCCGGCGAGCTGGTTGGGAAGTTCTATTTCTGGCCGTGACTCATCAGGTGAGAGCTGCAGTTTACAGCTGCACTGAAGCACCAGAGCCCAGGTGTGATCAGTGAAGACAGGGATCTCTTGGGGCATCGGTGCCCATCCCAGACTGTGCCAATCGTGGGACAGCCTCCGGCTTCTCACGCCCCGTGCAAACTCCCTGGGCTCGTACAGCGTAGCTGGGGGCACAGTCAGAGTTCTACGTAAGTTGTTCAAAAAATGGTTTCGAGGACAACTAAAGATTCCGTTTCACTGGTGAACTTACAACGTTTCCAGGTGTTTTTTTTCCAAAATACAGTTGAAGTCCCCGTCAAAATGCAGAATTCCACTTTGGGGGATTTTTATTTATCCAAACAATTCTGTGACGTCAACACAAATTCCCAGAATGCTTCGGTCGATCCAAATCTGCCCTGTGCCGCAAAATAATTCTGTCCGGAAAATTTCACCCAGCTCTGGGACCGATCCCCCTAGCTCCGAGCAGGGATGCGCGGCAGCTCCCAGAGGTGGCGAGAACTTGCAGCTGGAGCTTAGAGCCAGGGGTAACTTTGCGGGACACACGCAGATTCAGCAGAAGACTTGGGCTCCCTCCGGTCAACCCTACTCCCTAGCTCCTCACTTGGAAACAACTTCTCAAGGAAGCTCGCTGGCTTCTCATCCAGTCCCTGCTGTCTCTTTAGGGAGTGGCCAGCTGGCCCATTCCCATCGTTGTGACTGCTAGGTGGCTCACAGGGCTATTTACTTGATGCTGAGATGTGTCACAGAGCTCCACGTGGGAAGCAAGAATTCCACGTGACCAGTGCATGCCTGGTACATGCCTAAACAAAGAGAAGGGGGGCAGGGGACGAGGCCACAGTCCACGGTTTTACCGGGCTTCTAGGAGCAGGCCAGTGAACAGAATACTCCTGTGCACCATGCAGATGCTAGTCACGACACCACAGTTAAGACTGCGTTGAGTTTTGTACCCTTAGCAGAGAAACACGGGCCACCGTATCCTCAGCGCTCGGCCTTTGCATACCAGACAGCTTGCCCGGGAATTTACAAGAGCACCCGTTCATTAGCATGGAAGTAAAAATTCAACTCCACACGGGTCCTCTAGAAAGCGCAGTGTGCAGCCGCCGACGCGTTCTTGTCCCAAACGGCCTTAAGAGAGCCGCCCGAGCTCTGGAGACTTCCCACGTCGCTACAACCCACTGAAATCTAGTGCCTGGGCTCCCGCTGAAGAACCGAGGTTAAACCCAGCTATTGGCAATGTTCTATCAAACTGATGTGAGTTTGGCAGAGCAAAAGAGACCCTGAGGCGGAGTAAAGGCTGAGAATACAGGTCAGTGATTTAGGGTAAAATCAGTACAGGGAGGGTGCAGATAAGGGGGGGGGGGAAATGTAACTTAACAGAAATCCCTCCATAGAAGTAGGGCCTGGAAAAGCATCCAACCAACCTTCACTCCCCTCTGCAGGGATGCCCTGTCATCTCCCTACAATTATGCACATAGGTGGGTTTGCTCCTCGGTTAGGTGAATCTACTCCTTAGAGACACATTAGCTCATTCTCTTCTTCTGGCTCTTCTCTTTATTCTGCCCCCTTCCCGCAGATGAGAAGGGGAATTGCAGTGTGGGGAGGGGCGAAGGAAATGCACCAGGAGGCTGGTTTCCAGACAGGGCGCTCAGTCGAGGGATACAAAGAGACGGCTATCTGCCCCTAACAGCTTCACCCACCCTCAGGCCACGCTGCAGGAGCTGACCGGTGGCAGTCAAAGTGGAGGTCAGGTTGAGACCGGGCGGAGTCTGCACAGGTGCAGCCCTGATGCTGCGAGCTATGGATGTAGCCTGGCCCATAGATCTGTCCCCAAAAGCCATTAGGACCAGAGGCTGCAGACGGAGGGGCGAGAAACCCCCACGGACACGTCTGGAATAAGCTGCCCAGGAAGAGAGGGATCTGCCTGACCCGTCTCGTCTGGTTCCTGCCCTGGCTGAGGGTGCGTCTCTCGTGTACCCCAAGGGAACGCTATTGCTCTTAGGCAGCCTGACAGTTCCGGGACCGCTGTTCGGAGCAGTTGCCCTGGCTGTGATCAATGGGACACCACAGAACGCTTGGCCTCGGGCCCCAAACGGCCTGCGGGCAGAAGACTCTGGACAGCCAGATAACCCCGGAGCAGCGAGACCAGCTAGCCAGGCGCTCGCGGCCCGTGTGCTGAAATGGCTCCAACCCCCGCCCCTCAGGGCTCCATCATGCCACCCCTCTGAGCCTGGGTGAATGAAGTACAGGGATCTCCGGGCCCGGCGACATGCCAAGGCCCGAGGTGGAGGGGCTCAGGGGATGGGCAAACGCCCCAGCTCTGGCGCTGGGTTCGGCCGAACACTGAGGATTCAGCCCCGGTGCATCTCAGTCTGCCCCTTCCCCCACAGCCCCACTCCCCTGCCGTCTCCCCCTCCCAGCAGGCCCCATTTCCCTCTCGCTTCTCCATGGTGCAGGTGTGTGTGGGGGTGTGTGAATAAAAACAGACCTGGTTCCAGGGAGCAGCCCCCTATCTTTCCGCTACATGGGCTACTTCCTGTAGTGACCTCCCGGTTGCTAGTCAACGCCAGGGCCTCCTGGCTGTACCTCAGAACTCCCATGCCAGCCACCTCCTCCTGGCCTCTCTGTCGGACTGACAACCCTTCCGTCAGCCCCAGGCACAGTCTCCCGCCTGCGGAGAGCACAGACCGGCCCACGCACTGTCCTTGCAGGGCACCGGGCGGCTCCCCTGAGGACAGAGGTGGCCGTCTCCTGGCTCAAGCGGGGCTGGGCTGAGTGACTCTGGATCCCCCGTGTCCACGGGAGAGCCCCCCCTCCCGCCACACGCCCCGCCGCG